ATCAGATTTTGACTATATAAACCGCGATATCTCCAAAAGTTACAGTCACAAATTGAAAATTTATATGCCGTTAGATTCGTCAGGCGATTCTGCACTAGAATTTGTATAGACATTCTAGATACAGTCGACCCCCCTATAACGTACGTTCTAATAACGACAATTCCTATAACGTAACGAAAAAATTGTACAAACTCTCGTAAAACATACCTCCCATAACGTCGTTTCGCGACAAGATTGATAGAGTCTGGACCAATAGTGGATGAGCAGCCGAACTACTTTCCTCCGACCCTGCGCCACGCTACAGAGCGGCTAAATTGAGTTTGCTATCGTCTGTTTAGTATTATATATAAATTAGGTACTGTACATATAATTATATATTAACTTAATTTATTGTAACTTTATTATAATTATATATATAATTTCTGCCGTCCAGTGCCACGCTACGGAAAGTTTAGGCAAGTATGTTGAGTTTACTATCGTCTGTACAGTATGTAAATTAGGTACCGTAAGTCTAATACAGCACTAATTTTATACATTTCTTGTGAAAGAAACATTTCTTATTCAACGGCCATAAAAATTATTTCTATTAATGTCGTCTCCAAAGGTCAACAAATTTTTTGCAGAAAAATAATTTATCAGAAAACGCGGCCGCCGTTTGCTGCGCTGCTCCGCGACGAAAACAAGCGTAAGCAATGGCGTAGTCGAACGGTGCACACTCGGTAAGTAATCCTACAATTTTTGTTTATAGCATAGTTTATACGGATTCTTCCAAAAAATTATACGTGTTTTGGAAATGTTGAGTCAAATTAGTCTAGGAATCGGTTAATTTTATAGAAGAAAACCTTTCAAACAGTCTTAGTCCGTAAACTTCACACGTGTCGGGCTGTGATTGGCTGTGTGCCTACAATAAAATTCTTATAAAGTGGAACGTATCTAAACGTTATAGGGAGTCTACTGTATTTTATTTCTTTCTAAAAACCAAATGAACTTTCGGTTCAACCCAATACATTGTAGTTATATTCTTAAAAAGTACAATGTATTATATATTGGACATAATTTTTCTTTAAATCAATATGTTATGTGGAAGATATGTTCCAGATCAACTGAAAAATTTGTATTTATTTGGAAGTGTATAGACTCATAAACAGAACTATTTACTCTATTTTACACTAAACTGTAATATAGTGCAATTTATTATTTTTATTTTCTAGAATTTACTATTTATTTTTTCTCAATATCTGGTGTGGTAACTGATGAATACGTAGATGTAGTATATGTCTCTTTAATCCGAATTAGTAAAAACGGTAGACTTTCTCTCAGCTATAAGGTTAGGTACTCCTTTATTGTAAATCACAAATGCATTTTGGGCTTATATGAGCCCCTCTTCAGTGTAAATGCTACACATATAAAGCATAAAAAGCAAAAAATTAATTAATTTACAAATTTTTCACGCGAAGATGATTTTTACAGACAATATACATTCAATACACATTCATGTGCTTTTTTGGATTATATAAAATATCATTGTGAGAGTCATACAATTAGAAAAGCATTACTCTGTCTTCTGAGGTATGTAAAAGGATTTATTTATTGTCTGTAAAAATCATCTTCAAAAAAGCACTGAAGAGGGGCTCATATAAGCCCGAAATGCATTTGTGATTTACAATAAAGGAGTACCTAACCTTATAGCTGAGAGAAAGTCTACCGTTTTTACTAATTCAGATTAAAGAGACATATACTAAATAAATCTATATATTTATTTTTTATTTACATTTTCATTTCAGTACATATTCTAGAAAAAATTATAATTTACAGTAATGGATATACAGTTTTGTAGCATTTTATTTTGTCATATTAAATACTTAATTAATACATATTTATTACTGTATTTTTGTTTTGATACATATATATTTTATGTATACTACATAACTATGAATGTAAGTATTGAAGGAGAAAAGAAAGATTCAAATGAAAAATATATGCATGTTTCTCCTTTTCAACTGATCTAATTGTGAATATATTTAATGTAAACCAAGTTTATTGCCCCTAATTTATCAACGACATATTGTAAAATAACATAATTAGCACAATATGTATCAAGAATATGTATTTCAAAAAAAAAACAAAAAAAAAAACAAAAAACTTGTCTGTATTTATTTGTACCAATCATATTAAATTCCTTCCTATGTGTAAACTGCACTGTAAACATATTTCAAAGCAAATTACATGTTGTATTTATTAATTTTTTAACATAAAATTATTATACAAAGCAAAATAAAACTAATCATTTATCCTCCTTCTGTAACCTGTTACCAGTGCATTATGTGTAAAAAATACAGAGGGTGACAAATGTTTTTGAACTATTGCAAAGTTCTTCTTCAGGTCAAATAGCTTTGGAATGCCTCAGAATGGAATGTAAAGATTTAAAATGGCATTCAATTGAATGTCAAAATGGCATTCAATTGAATGCCATTTCGACAAAATCTGTTTCGCCGGACATGCACGATCATGTGCTGATGGATATAATTATGGGTCGGCATCTATGAGGGCCTGCCAGACTAGCAACAGACTAAGCTCCTCCTTCCGGTTGATGCAGGTGATCTCTCGGCACCACCTTTGTAAATGACTATGTCTTCTAACCATTTAAGATGGTCCTGGCGAGGCA